TTGCCTTCACTAAAGAACCCTTGAAGAAACATCTTTTTTAAGAATGTAGTTGGTCAATGGTAGGAGGTAGAAACGTAATGCTAACATCAACGTTTTACCACTTACAAATGCTAAACCTGAAAACAAAGCACATAAGATGGTTCTTCAAGGGTTCTTTATTAAAGAAAATGGTTCTAAATGGAATGATGAACACTCAAAGAACCCTTTGCATGATTGAAGCTTTTTTTGCATGGTGTAATGCTTCTTCAGATTGATGGAGAATGTGCTGTAGATGGTTCCATATAGCACCAAAAGGCATAACAGAACCATTTTATGGTGCTATATAGAATCCTTTTCAAAAAGGTTCTATATAGAACCATCTACATCACTCTGTGATCTGCAGCCTGAAGAACCCTTTCATGATGCAAAAAAACCCTTCAATCATGCAAAGTGTTCTTTGAGTGTTCATGGTTCCATATAGAACCATTTTCTTTACTAAAGAACCCTTGAAGAACCATCTTTTGTGCTTTCTTTTCAGGTTTAGCATTGACGTTGACGTTATCATAACATTTCTACCTCCTACTTTTTACCAACCACACTCTTAAAAAACTCAACAATTAAAATCAAAAAATGAAAACTCTTTTTTAAGAGTGTGCATGAAGACAGAATATTGTTGCTGTCATAAGACAATCGTGCATCTCCATAATACTGTAACCACATTCTAGGTAATTTTGGACCATTTGGGTTTGGTTCCATTTATCATGACATGTTCATAAAATATAAAGAACAGCTCAAATTTTTTAATTGATGTAAATAAATAAATAAGAACATAAGGTCATGGTTTTCATATGACAGTGAAAATATGTAGGGTAATTATTGGCTTACCACTACAATTGGTTAAAGAGTAAAGGAGAACTCTCCATCCACTCTGGTTCTTGGTGGTTTCTTGTCATTCTTCAGTAGTTTGTAACACGTTTACATGATTCTGGGCCAAATTTGTCAAGGCCTTCAATATCTATGGTGACGTAAAAACTACAATCCAACATTATTTTTTTCCAGTATGTATTCAGAAAGTTATGCTAACTTTAATATCAACATACTGTACCGTCCAAGTATTGATATGCTTTGTATTTTGGTGAACAGTGTATCTTATAAGTACAAATGCCAGGTGTTTTAAAGCATTCTTTTAATATCTGTGACATAAGCACACATTCGTTTTGCTCTTTTGTTTTCTTGGTGCAACAGTACTACTTTTAACTTTGAAAGCTAAATGTATTTATTTTAATATTATTTATCTCCATTCTGTGTTTTAAATATTCATATTCAGAACATTCAGAGTTCTGTAGTTTGTAGAGATTGTGGCTTTTTCTCTTGATCGTTTTTCAAGATGATCTCTTTCCCTTTTCAAAAACCTTCTGAACTACAGCTTTCACTGCCAGTATTGCACATTTAGATTAACTGTGTCATTGAGAGTGTTTACATGCCCTTAATAATCCGATCATAATCAGATTTCTGCAGTTATCTGTTTATTCAAATGGTCATGTAAACAGCATACTCTGATTGTTTTTAGATCGCAGTAAGGTCTAGAAATCCGATAAAGTGAGCTGGATTTTAGCTCAGTAATCAGATTTGTCAGTGCACGTGAACTCTTACTCTGATTTCTTTCAGATTTCTCAGTCTGCACATGTGCGAAAACAGACTGCGGCACTGGAAATAAGCAAAGCGGCATTACCGCGAGACGCAGCAAAATACTTCATGCTTGACTACATGCTTGATGAAACGACAGATATAAATATTATCCTTCTTCTAGATGATGTATGTTCATGTTCATATTTTCAGGCAAATTGACTTGATATTTAAAAAAACAAAAAAAGCTGTGACATGAAGTTTGAGTTTTACGTTACATCTTCTTCTGTGAGTTTATTGGCTGGTTTCAAAGCAGAAATCTGATTACTGACTTATGTAGACCCGGAGTTTCACATTATCAGATTACTCAAGTGCATGTAAACGTGTTGATCAGATTACTGACAAAATCTGATTTTCTGCAGTTATCAGATTAATAAGTGCATGTAAACACACTCATTGAGTTTGCACACATTAATCCTATTATAATCAGATTTCTGCAGTTATCTGATTATTCAAATGGTCATGTAAACAGCATACTCGATTTCTTAGATCAAAGTAAGGTCTAGAATTCTGATGAAGAAATCTGATAAAGAGAGCTGGATTTTAGCTCAGTAATCAGATTTTTTTAGTGCATATAAACACTCACTCTGATTTCTTTCTGATTTCTCAGTCTGCGCATCTGCGAAAAACAGGCGGCGGTACCGGAAATAAGCAAGCAGCGTTACCAGCAAAACACTTTTAGAGTGACCGTGAATCCGACTATATGCTTGACGAAATGACAGATTTAAATATTATTCATTTTCTAGATGATGTTTGTTCATATTTTCAGGTAAATTGACGATGTTTAAAAAAAAGCTGCGGCATGAAGTTTGAGTTTTACGTTACATTTACGTCACATCTTCTTCTGTGAGTTTATTGACCGATTCCAAAGCAGAAATCTGATTACTGCCTGACACATGTAGACCTGGAGTTTCCCATTATCTGATTACTCAAGTGCATGTAAACGTGTTGATCGGATTGCTGACAAAATCTGATTTTCTTCAGTTATCGGATTATTAAGTGCATGTAAACGCACTCATTGACATGGAGAAACATTAAAACTTTGGTAGACTTTACTGCAAATGGCTTGCCTTATTGCTGTTTATTGAAATCAATCTCAATCCTAATTCAGGCCTTAACAAAAGACCGAATCAAGCTGATTTCAATCTAGAAGTTAGTTTGCGATAACCCTATTTTTTGGAAAATTTAAGTTGAGTTGTGTCCAGACCTATTGCAGAAGTCATTGTAAATATCATTTGTGCCTTTATTTTTCGACTTGTGGCTTCTTTCAATACAGTACGAAGCTTTGTGGAGTTTGTCATCCTGCCATTGTACAAATGTAAGATTATAACTTTCAAATGAGATTTTGTGATTGTGGTTTTGCTGCAACATTTGTATTGCCGCTGGTTTATTATGTGTCTGTAAATGTATATTTTATAAATCTTGCCATTGAACAACAACGCTTTTTATCAACGAGCCTCCCAACTCTCCGTGTCTTTATTCAGCTTTTCCTTGTCGGCCTCAGGCTGGACGCTGTGTGTGTTGAATGTGTCCACCAGGGGGCACAAAGTCTTAGTGTTTCCCATGTGGTTCACACCTCCATCATCCTACCTATGGGTTAAGATGAGCCAGACTGTAGTCCATCTGTTTCTCTACATACTATGTTACCCTGTTCTTTAATGGTCAGGACCCCCACAGAGCAGGCATTATTTGGGGGGTGGATCATTCTCAGCACTGCAGTAACACTGACATGGTGGTGGTGTGTTAGTGTGTGTTGTGCTGGTCTGAGTGGATCAGACACAGCAGTGCTGCTGGAGTTTTTAAACACTGTGTCCACTCACTGTCCACTCTATCAGACACTCCTACCTTGTCAGTCCACCTTGTAGATGTAAAGTCAGAGACGACAGCTCATCTGCTGCTGCACAGTTTGTGTTGGTCATCCTCTAGTCCTTCATCAGTGGTCACAGGACGCTGCCCACAGGACGCTGTTGGCTGGATGTTTTTGGTTGGTGGACTATTCTCAGTCCAGCAGTGACACTGAGGTGTTTAAAAACTCCAGCAGCACTGCTGTGTCTGATCCACTCGTACCAGCGCAACACACACTAACACACCACCACCACGTCAGTGTCACTGCAGTGCTGAGAATGAGAAACAGATGGACTACAATCTGAAATTGTAGAACTACAAAGTGCACCTATATGGTCAGTGGAGCTGATGTATAAGTAATTTTGGACTATTTTGATTGGTCGGCCTACATTCACCCAGTAATATTCACAATGCTAATGAAGGCCTCAAGCTTCTGTTACTCGTTAGCTTCATTAGCCTCAGAGATGTAATGCAAAATTACAGTATTAAAAATATGGCTTAGCTTATTCATCACATTTGGAATAAGTAAAAACAAACTGTAAATATTTTTTGCCAAACTACTGCTGTAAGTTTTGTCTTAAATAGCCTTAAATAAGCTATTCTCAGATCAGGATGCTCTGTGAAAGTTTATAAAGAGAACTACATCCCCAAAAACAAAGTCCAGATCAAACAGAACTGAATGAGTATCTGTCAGGATGGTGAGATGTTGGTGTTGCTGAATTGCAGGATTTTTTTTAATGGTAAAATCTATCAAGCATAAGCAGCAAATATTGACAGCTCCAACACAGCCTGCAAAAACTGTGCTGTTGTTTTATTTGTACTTGAGTGCAGCTCTCTCTCTCTCTCTCTCTCTCTCTCTCTCTCTCTCTCTCTCTCTCTCCCTCTCTCACATATCAATTCTGTAAAAAAGAAAAAAGTAAAAAGTGAAAAAAGAGAAGACAAAAGGAAAACAGTTGAGTCCTGCAGTGCTGCATTAACATGAATGAGACTATATTATCAAACAATTAACACTTTACAATTAACATGAGCCTGAATATATAGTAAACAGGAAAATATAAAATATAGAAATAGAGTTTAATTATTTATGAAATATTTTTATGGAAAATATATATATATATATATATATATATTTTTTTTTTTCTCTCCTCTCTCTTTCTCTCACCCCTCTATGTCTCTCTCTCTTACCTCTCTCTTTCTCCTTTGTCTCTCTCTCACTCTCTTACCCCCACCTCTCTCCTTTATGTCTCCCTCTCTCACTCTCTTACCCCTTTTCTCTCTCTCTCTCTCTCTCTCTCTCTCTCTCTCTCCTTTAAGTCTCTCTCTCTCTCTCTCTCCCCGTGTTCGAGTCCTCTCGCGCTCGGAATGCGGACGCTGACGCTGTTTTTTTCCCCCTCTGGCACGCGGCAGAGTGCTGCGCGCGCTACCGGGCGACTCGACCGAGGGGCGACGACACGGCCACGCGCTGAATGAACAAGGGGGCGTGGATTAAGCACGAGCCCGCAGGACGACGGATGGATCCGCTAGGGGACTAGCGTGCGAGGACGGGCAACGGCGCGAACCCCCGTTACCGCAACCCACGTGAGTACACACACACACACACACACACACGGTTCCGTAACGGACCCACAACACACTCACAGCTGACGAACTTTTTGCGTCACGCCGTCGTTATCCCGCCGTCACTGCGCCGGTAGACGCTGCCGCATTCCGGTACCGTACTGTACCGGCCCGGAGCCCGGACGGAGACCGTTCAACCACGCAGAGCACGGAACGAATCAGTAACGGCTTCTATAACGGTCTTCTGAGGCTCGTCTCGAGCGCAGCGCGCGGCTTTGGTAGGGATCAGCGTTTCTGCCCGGTTAAGTCGCGAGAAGCGGATTAGTTAGAGGGGAGGGGGCGCGAGCAGGTGCAGCTCGTCGCCCTCGCGCCGTTGCCAGTGGAGACCCGCAGTAGCCAGGGAGACCGGACGCACGCGCACGCTTGAAACTCAAATTTGAACTTCTGTTTTTCGGGAAAAATAACGGCTTCAACGGCTTTAACGGCTGAGAGATGAACGAGAGGGATTCGGGCTGCGAGGTGAGCCGGTTTAACGTCGATTAACCGACAGTTTCTTCTCTAATGTTCGATTTGTGTGTGAAACTGAGTGAAAACTGTGAGCGAATCGACTCTCCTGTCTGTTAGTTTAGCGCGTGGGGTTTTACTCGGTGAACGACTCTCGGCGCGCAGTCAGAGTTCAGTTTGTATTTCTGTTAGTGTTTCTTTTTTTGACACGCCTTTCTGTAGCCACGTGACACAGCGGGATAAACACACACACACACACACACACACACACACACACACACACGTTTGTCTGCTAGTGAGGACTTCCACTGATTTGTATTGATTTTGTATTACTGTAGCCAAATAATACTAAACCTAGACCTAAACCTAATCTAATCCCAGCCTCCGTAACTTGTGGTGAAACTAGCACGTGCTAAAATTAGGACCAGCAAAATGTCCTCACTTGTGCAAAAGTGTTATGTTGTCCTGTCATTTTGAGGACTTGTGGTCCTCACAAGGATAACAAGACAAACACACACACACACACACACGTTTGTCTGCTACTGAGGACGTCCACTGATTTGTATTGATTTTCATATTACTGTAGCCAAGTAATACTAAACCTAAACCTAAACCTAACCTAATCATGACCTCCGTATTCGAAAGGCAACCTTCCCGCTCTTTAAGTTTTTCCAAAAAGAATGAATTTGCGCTTAAACCAGCACATGCTAAAATGAGGACCAGCAAAATGTCTTCACTTTGTGCGAAACGGTCATGTTGTCCTATCATTGTGAGGACTTGTGGTCCGCACAAGGATAGCAAGACAAACTCACATTTGTCTGCTGGTGAGGACTTCCATGATTTGTATTGATTACTTTACTTTAATTATTACTTTAGCCAAGTAATACTTAACCTAATCCTAACATAATTCAAAAGGCAACCTTCCTGCTCTTTAGGTTTTTCCAAAAAAATGAATGTGGTGAAACCAGTACTTGCTAATATGGGGACCAGCAAAATGTACAAACGTGTGAAATTGTCACATTGTCCTACCATTGTGGGGACTCAGGGTCCTCACAAGGAAAGCAAGACAAACACACATTTGTCTGCTAGTGAGGACTTCCATTGATTTGTATTGATTTTTGTATTACTGTCACCAAGTAATACTAAACTTGAACCTAAACCTGAACCTAACCCAACCCTAACCTCCGTATTCGAAAGGCAACCTTCCTGCTCTTTATGTTTTTCCAAAAAGAATGAATTTGCACTTAAACCAGCACATGCTAAAATGAGGACCAGCAAAATGTCTTCACTTTGTGCAAAACGGTCATGTTGTCCTATCATTTGAGGACTTGTGGTCCTCACAAGGACAGCAAGACAAACTCACATTTGTCTGCTAGTGAGGACTTCCATGATTTGTATTGATTACTTTAATTATTACTTTAGCCAAGTAATACTTAACCTAATCCTAACATAATTCAAAAGGCAACCTTCCTGCTCTTTAGGTTTTTCCAAAAAAAAATGAATGTGGTGAAACCAGTACTTGCTAATATGGGGACCAGCAAAATGGACACACGTGTGTGAAATTGTCACGTTGTCCTATCATTGTGGGGACTTAGAGTCCTCACAAGGATAGCAAGACAAACACACACACATACACACACGTTTGTCTCCTAGTGAGGACCTCCATTGATTTGTATTGAGTTTTGTATTACTCCAGTCAAGTAAAACTAAATTTGAACCTAAACCTAGACCTAAACCTCCGTATTCAAAAGGCAACCTTCCTGCTCTTTAGGTTTTTCCAAAAAAATGAGTTTATGGTGTGTTAAAGATGAGAACTAGCAAAATGTCCTCACTTGTGCTAAACTGTCATGTTATTCTATCATTGTGAGGACTTGTGGTCCTCACAAGGATAGCAAGACAAACTCACACACACACACACACTGGTTAGGCCGTGCTGTGGCGGCATTAGCACGGAGTGAGTGGGGCGCAGTGTGAAGACTGGCCATGTGTGAAAAGGCTCACAGTGGAGAGTTTCTACACACGAGCAGATGGTCACACTCAGCCGAGAGGGGCAGGTTTTAGCTGATGAAGTCAGTCTCTCTTTCTCTCTCTCTCTCTCTCTCTCTCTCTCTCTCTCTCTCTCTCTCTCTCTCTCTCAGTCTCTCTCTCTCTCTCTGACTCTCTCTCGGTTCATTCCTTTCATAAATGCAATGTCAATGCAGTATTTCTTCATTATTTATAGCTGGTAATACACTTAAAAATATGGCTGTTCTATGCGGTTTAGGACCATGAGTTCTATATAGATCCAAAAATGGCTCTTTGCTTGAATGGTTCCTCAGATTGACGGCGAGTGTGAGAACCATATACAACACATTCTCCAGCTGTTTCACCATGCAAAGAGCCACTTAAGCAATGAACATCGCTGTGAGGATTTGATTGCATTCAGCCACAAGTGCGTTAGTGAGGACAGGTACTGATATTGGACCACAAACACTGTGCTAACTCATCCCAAAGGTATTGGATGGAGCTTATGTATATATATATATATATACTGTCCAATGTATTATATATCTTTGTATCTATCTATATGTCTGTCTGTCTGTCTGTCTATCTGTCCGTGGTGTCCTCATGCCGTTCATGTTTTTGTGACCAGCCGTGTGTTCGACAGAGTTTAGACTTTTAAATGCTACTGGTTTTAGACAAGCTGTTGGTTTTGTAGACACCTAGATATTCAGCATCTCATCTGAAATCTGTCTGCCTGTCTGTCTGTCTGTCTGTGTTTTGTCAGAAAACATTAATGTTATTGTGAGCTGCTGTGTGTTAGACTGAGTTCAGGTTTTAAATACTGTTAGATGAGCTGTTGAAAGGAGTGTTTGTTATAGATCCCAGCAGTGTCTGTCTACAGCGATAAGAGCATGACTATCTCTTTATCATCTCTGCTCAGCCCTGTTATTCACATACTGCTGAATATGCCACAGTTTCCATCAGCAGCTTTTCCATTAGATACTTGGCCACGTCACTGTTTGCTTTTCTCTGACTTCAGCCAGGCCCATCCTGTCTCCCACTGTGTCTGTGTGTGTGTGTTGAACATGAATGTCCCTTCACCAAGTTAAACATCATCAAATGAGCCTCTGTGCATGGGCATTGCAAAAGGACTGTGCAGGTATTTATATCAGCACAAGAAACTAGACCTCTTGTGTGGTTTAGTATGATAATATACACTGATCAAGCATAACATTATGACCACCTCCTTGTTTCTACGCTCATTGTCCATTTTATCAGCTCCACTTACTATATACAAGTGGATCAGACACAGCAGTGCTGCTGGAGTTTTTAAACACCTCACTGTCACTGCTGGACTGAGAATAGTCCACCAACCAAAAATATCCAGCCAACAGCGTCCTGTGAGCAGCGTCCTGTGACCACTGATGAAGGACTAGAGGATGACCAACACAAACTGTGCAGCAGCAGATGAGCTATCGTCTCTGACTTTACACCTACAAGGTGGACTGACAAGGTAGGAGTGTCTAATAGAGTGGACAGTGAGTGGACACAGTGTTTAAAAACTCCAGCAGCACTGCTGTGTCTGATCCACTCGTACCAGCACAACATACACTAACACACCACCACCACATCAGTGTTACTGCAGTGCTGAGAATGATCCACCACCCAAATAGTACCTGCTCTGTGAGGTACTATAGATTATATAGATTAAATAGATTTTTGCATTCTTAATGACTGTTAAGGTATAAAGATGCTCCAGTGCTATTGGGAATGAGAATTTAAAAAAAATGGTATTTTTTATTTAACATAGATTTTTGTGGGTTAAATAATGACTTTATGTCTTTACTTCACTGTAACATGTTCAGATTTGACTTAGGAGGGTGGTTCCCTATCCCAGTGTTGGAGATGTCATGGGCCACACATTTTTCCTAACCTACACACACCTAATTCAACTCCTCAGCTGGCTATTAAGATTTAAGATGTGTAAGAGCAAGGCAATAGCAAAAAGTGACAAAATGACAGCACTCAGTCCCTAAAGCTGGGATTCGGAACCCCTCTGCAGTATCAACCCAGTCCTTGGGGCCCACCAGACAATCCACAGTTTTGTTCTATCCCAGATTCTAACACACCCAAACTCAGTCGTTGAGGATACCAAACACAGGTGTACTGAGAGCTAGAGAGCAAAAAATGTGAACCACCTGATATGCCCCAAGGTCTGGTTTAGGAAACACTGTCCCAGATTGCTGTGCTCTTTTTGTTGACACCTCATGGTTCTCTCAGTTCTAGTTCCTTCAACCAGAGCGTCCTGGCACCATGTTCTACGGCTCCTCATCTGCCAGCATGTCACTGCCCTCTAAGAACCGCCTGAAGCGCCAGAGTCGTACCTTCACACAGGTTCTGTACCGGACGCTGAGCTACCGGGACCGCCGCTCCGTCACTGACCTTCCCGAGCAGGTCCGAGACGACCCCGCCGAGCTCTCCACTCAAACTTCTGCACCTGGCGTATTAAAGATCTTCGGAGATGAAATTAGCGCCGGTGCCAATTATAAGAGCGTTTTGGCCACACCCCGTTCCAGCGCTCAAGAACTTATTAAGGAGGCGCTCGAACGCTATTCACTCAACAAAGCTTCTGCCAGCAACTACGTGCTGTGTGACGTCATCGGGCGATTCGAGGGTGCAGATCGCCGATGGCGGACTGAATGTTTGCGAGCGTTGGGCAACAACGAAAAGCCCCTCCTCCTGCAGGATCTGTGGAAGCCGAAGGAGGGGTTTGCCCGGCGCTTTGAACTAAGGCGAAGGGTGGAGGTGGAGGAACTGGCTGCCAAAGAGAAAGACACCGTGACCGCAGGTAACACATATATACACTTAAACACAACAAAGGGAAGCTAGTGGGCACAATTAACATAATTAGCATGGCACAGTTAGTTCATCATGGCATCCTAGTCCTCAGAGCTCATCAATGTCTGAATACAGTTGCTCTAATCTAGCTCCCAGTACACCTGTACCAGTTATTCAGTTGTTGATTGCTTGGTTCAGGTGTGTTGGAAGCTGGGATAGAGGAAAAATGTGGATTGTCTGATGGGCACTAAGGACTGGGCTGAAAAACACTGCACTGTATAACTTACTCTTCCAGACAGAGGCACAGGTACTACAAGTTTTGGCCCCAGATGCTCCACCCAGAAAGGGTTGACAGTCTGGTCCATATTATCAGATGACCACAACTATCAGAATCCTGCTTGTTACACACTGATGGGCTATCTGCACTTAGGATACAATGGGAAACCGCATCTCTTTTTGGGGTTACCAACACAGCATATCTCGGTATGATCCTGTGTTACACACTGGGTCAATTTTGTCGTAGCACCATTTCAACAATCACCGGCCTTACATGTCACACACACAAAGAAAACATAGCCGCATTAGGCAACGAAACCCACCAGATTCATCGGCGACAGCTGGCTTGTGTCACTATGGTACTTCCAACTGTCTGGCCCTCACTTTGTCCATTGGTGTGCTGAGTACAGCACTTGTCTTTTCAGTGGGAAATCCCAAGTGAGCATGAGGTTGAATCTTACCCGTTAGTGCTGTGACCTGAATGTGTCTCTACAAGGTCAGAAAGGGAGGTGGATGTAGTGTGGAGCACTGTATAACCCACTGCCCAGGACAAACAGAGTGTCACCATTCACTGCCCAATCAGCAAATTGCTGCGAGTTCAAGTTCCACCACCAGTTTCAGCACGAGTTAGTATCGGATGAAGGTTTCTTTCACAAACTGTAGTATGGGGCTTGTGTCATTTCTGAGCATAACGGATACATAAAACCAGTTATGAATACATTGATCAACAAATGATGTATAAACATGATATATTGGCTACTGATTTTTTGAAGGATACTTTGTATCATACTCCAAATCCGACGTCAAAGCATTGTGCTTTTGCATATGAATATGTACAACTTTATAAGAGTCACTCATAATAGTCTGTAGCTGAACATTTTTGCTCTCTCCTCTCTTTCTGTTCCCGTCTCCTCTGCTATACTGTCTACCTCAGCATTCGCTAAAGACAGTGTGAATCCCATGAGCCTTGTTTACAGACGAGCAGGAAGGAGGCAGGATAGCAGCACATGAGCCGTTCTTCTACTATCGTAACACTTTTTGCAGCAATCAGATACCTGGATTATTAATGCTTTCGTCTTATAATACAAGTTGAGTAATACTAACAACCTTGTGTGATATTTTCATAATAGACTAGATTTATGTTACTGAACACTCATTGAGTTTTTGGGTGTAACTTAGGCCTAATATGGCTGTTGCTCCTGAAGAAAATCACCTCTTATAATAACTACAACAACTCTCTTTCTGTACACAATCAAGATCCAAAAAGACTTCGTGGCACATTGTAAAACAGATATAGTTCCAGTTCTAATATTTGGATTGGTTGAGCCACATTCTAAGTCTCTTCTAACCATATCTTCATAGAGTTTGCTGGAACAGTAAAGGCCCTCCCCCAAAGTTAGAAGCATAAAACTGTCTAAAATGTCTTCGTATGGTGTAGAAGAAGAAGAAATGGGATTGGGCCTAAGATTAGGCACAGGTTAAAGAAAAATGTGATTTGTTAGACGGCTCATTTGCATACTGCAGCCTTCTGCAATATCTGTATTGCGATAAAAGTTAACAAGCAATATAGTGCGATTCCCTAGATGGAGCTGCTACTGAATAATTCAGAAATAGGAGAGAAAACAGAGCGTAAACTACTCCATCACTCACTATACTGCATACACTCTGACGCTGGGCAGTAATAAGCTGAGAAGCATCTCTCTTTCTTTTTCTATCTCGCTCCCTCTTTGTTTGTTGTAGTGCTAAATTACAAATTTAACAAGGTGGCCGTTCAGCCAAAACACAGAGTGGAGGTTAAATCAATATCAGCAGCAGCATTACTCTGGATAATTTATCCTCGGCCTGATCTGCCTTTCTCTTGGCCCCGCAAAGGCTGTGTGTGTGTGTGTGTGTGTGTGGCTATGTTACGCAACTGACACTGTAGAAGAACGCAGGTGAGAAAGCTACACTGGCTTCGTGTAACTAGACCCTGTTAAACTGAGCTATTGGAAACAATTCCGTCACTCAGCCTGTGCTGAAGTTGGACCTCTTAGTTTAGTGTCCTTTCGATGCTTGGCTTTATACACCGATCAGACATAACATTATGACCACCTCCTTGTTTCTATGCTCATTGTCCATTTTATCAGCTCTATTTACTATATAGGTGCACTTTGTAGTTCTACAGTTACAGACTGTAGTCCATCTGTTTCTCTGCATCGTTTGTTAGCCCCCTTTTACCCTGTTCTTCAGTGGGCAGGACCCCCATGGACCCTCACAGAGCAGGTACTATTTGGGTGGTGGATCATTCTCAGCACTGCAGTAACACTGACGTGGTGGTGGTGTGTTAGTGTGTGTTGTGCTGGTACGAGTGGATCAGACACAGCAGTGCTGCTGGAGTTTTTAAACACTGTGTCCACTCACTGTCCACTCTATTAGACACCCCTACCTTGTCAGTCCACCTTGTAGATGTAAAGTCAGAGACGATAGCTCATCTGCTGCTGCACAGTTTGTGTTGGTCATCCTCTAGTCCTTCATCAGTGGTCACAGGACGCTGCCCACAGGACGCTGTTGGCTGGATATTTTTGGTTGGTGGACTTTTCTCAGTCCAGCAGTGACACTGAGGTGTTTAAAAACTCCAGCAGCACTGCTATGTCTGATCCACTCGTACCAGCGCAACGCACACTAACACACCACCACCACATCAGTGTTACTGCGGTGCTGAGAATGATCCACCACCCAAACAGTACCTGCTCTGTGAGGGTCCATGGGGGTCCTGACCACTGAAGAACAGGGTAAAAGGGGGCTAACAAAGTATGCAGAGAAACAGATGGACTACAGTCTGTAACTGTAGAACTACAAAGTGCACTATACAGTAAGTGGAGCTGATAAAATGGACAATGAGCTTAGAAACAAGGAGGTGGTCATAATGTTACGACTCTTCTAAAATCTTAAAGACTTTACAGGCCATTTTATTTCTAGAAGAATGTCTTTCTCGATCTTTCTTGCTCATTATTATTTGCGTGTTTGGTGAATAGCTCCACTTTGCTGAGTGATTTGTGATCGCTCTCCTTCATCTGAGGGATTTACCCTGAAAACGATTGTGCCTAGCCGTCGGATTTAGACAGATAAACAAAGGTGGATGGATGGGGAGATTACACTTGCTCACCGTTGGTAATCCGCACACCAACACACACACACACACACATACACACACACCTTCTTAATGCGTGACAGATGCCAGGTGGCATGGGGCATGGACTGTGCTGAGATATTTACCAACACACACTGACACCACCCACCACAAAGTAATCAATAATGCATAAATGGAATATTCAATAAGGCAATAGCAAACAAGCCAAACAACCAGCCTTCCCATCCAAGCTCCTTGGTTTGGAGTAGCTGCATTCTTTTAATTTAACAGCGAGTCAATTTAATCTTTAGGTGTAGATGAATCACTGACTAGTTAGTTTTGTCATTTTGTGTTCTAGCTAACAGCAAAGTGGCTATGTTAATACATGTGTTATAATGTTCTGTCTATCTATATGAATGTCAGATACAATCCTTCTGTTTATGTACTTTCCAGTTACAGCAGCAATCAAATAAACTCACCTTAGCTGCATCTAAAATGACTGGAAAAGTAAAGGGAAAGTAAAAGAAAAACATGAAAAATAAGTGGAAAACATTCAAAATTGGAGTTCAAAAATGTATTTAAAAATGCAAAGCAAATGGGACTCCTGACAACCATGCAACCACCAAAACTGTAACCATCAGATAAACAGCACTTAAAACTTTCATCTTTAAGAGATAGACAAGAAGACAACTCAACGCTGTGGGTCTGAAAGGATGTGTAGGTGTCAACAAGCCCTCACTGAAAACGAAAGTAAAAAACGAATAGGTTTTATGGGCTGATAAGTCTAAATTTGTATTTGGGATTTCTTGGATCATGAGAATCAGAAAATGCAACCAACTTCTAAGACTGCGGAGGTGTTGAAAAATATCCCTGAAGATTTCTTTGAAAAACTGAAAGCAAGTATCCTGAACATAATTGAAGCATAGAGGACATACTAAATACAGTAAAAAATGATATAATAGTTGATGGGGCTTCTGTTTAATTTTCTGTTGCTGTTGTGGTAAAATTCCATGATGAATTGACTGTCAGGAATGGTCCAAAATTACATGAAAAATCATTGTTACATTAACATCCGTAACAAGTTAATCATGTTTTTCTTCTCCTGTAACGTTTAGGAGATTTCCTTCCAACAACAATGTTTTCAATTGCTTTCCTGATGCGTAACGTATATTTAGTGGCTAGTTTCATAGGAAATTAAACCCCTTAAATGGCCAGGGCCCACCAGCAGGCCCAAGGTTTTATTATACACTTCAATAACCTACGAGTAGCTCAGCCAGTTTGCACTGAAGTTCCTGTAGTTACTGAATAATAAACCTTAGTATGCAATAAGCCTGGGATTTTAAGGGGTTAAATGAATGAAAGGATGGTCACTGTCTTTTGCACAGTACTGTGTCTGTTGTTGTTTTTTTGTTTTTGTATTAGTTTCACCCTTATCAGCTTCCTCAGGTCAGAAGAAATGATGTATCAAAATCACACTGACAATTGACATTAAATGTACTTGATTTTACTAAAACAAATTACATCAACACAATTATCGCCAAACTGAAATACATAGAAATACACATTTCAATCAAGTAAATATAATGCATTACTGGCTTGTGGCTCATTGTCTGAGACAGTGCGGT